TGAAATAATTGTGTATGAAAATGACCCTAAAAACTCCACCAGGAAGCTCCTACAGCTGGGAAACACTTTCAGCAAAGTAGCAGGATAAAAAATTAACTCATAAAAAACAGTAGCCTTCATATATTCAAGCAATAGGCTGAGAAAGTAATTGAAACAATACCCTTCAAAATAGGCTCAAAAATATCTTGGGGTTACTGTAATCAAGCAAGGGAAAGATTTGGATAATAAAAACTGTAAGACATTGAAGAAAGAAATTGAGGAAGATATCTATCAGAAAATAGAAAGATCTCCTATGCTTTCAGATTGATATGATTAGTATAGTAAAAATTACCATGCTACCAAACGCAATCTACAAATTCAGTACAATCCCCATCAAAATTCTGACACAATTCATCACAGAAATTGAAGGGACAGTTTTCAGCTTCATAAGGAAGTACAAGATCCCCAAGGTAGCTAAAATAATTGTGACTAATGAATGAACTGCTGAAGATAGCACCATCCCTTACCTCAAATTGTACTATAAAGCTATAGTAATAAAACAGCATACTATTGTCATAAAACCTATCATGTTGATGTATGAAATCTACCTGAAGACCCAGACATAATTCCAAACACATATGGACACCTGATCTTTTACAAAGAAACCAGAAATGCACATTGGAAAAAAGACAACATCTTCAACAAATGGTACTGGTCAAACTGGATGTCAACATGTAGAAGAATCCAAATAGATCCGTATCTGTCACCCTGCATAAAACTCAAATCCAGCCGGGTGGTGGCGCACACGCCTTTAATCCCAGCACTTGGGAGGCAGAGGCAGGCGGATCTCTAGGAGTTCGAGGCCAGCCTGGTCTACAAGAGCTAGTACCAGGACAGGAACCAAAGCTACAGAGAAACCCTGTCTCAAAAAACCACCCCCCCCAAAAAAACCCCTCAAGTCCAAGTGAATTAAAGACCTAAACAAAAAACTAGATACAGTGAAGCTGATAGAAGAGAAAAGGGAAAGTAACCGTGAATTCATTGGCACAGGAGACCACTTCCTAAATAAAATACCAATAGCTCAGGCACTAAGATTAACAATAAATGGGACCTCATGAAACTGAAAAGGTTTCATAAGACAAAGGATACTGTCAATAAGACAAAATGGCAGCCTATAGAATGGGAAAAGATCTTCACCAATCCCACATCTGACAGAGGGCTAATCTCCAAAATAGATAAAGAACTTAAGAAACTAGACATCAACAAACCAAATAATCCAATTAAAAGTGGCGTATAGATCTAAACAGAAAATTCTCAACAGGAATCTCAAATGGCCAAGAAATGCTTAAATAAATGTACAACATCCAGGAAAATGTAAATCAAAATGATTATGATATTCCATCTTGCATCTGTCAGAATGGCTAGGATCAAAACTACAAGTAACAGCTCATGCTGACAAGGATGTGGAGCAAGGGGGACACTCTTCCGTTTATGATAGGAGTGCAAACTTGTACAGCCACTATGAAAATAAATATGGCAGTTCCTCAGAAAATTGGGAATTGATCTACTTCCAGACCCAGCTATACCATTCTTGCATTTATTCCCAAGGGATGTCCCTTCCTACCACAAGGACACTTGCCCAACTATGTTCTTATTCATAACAGCCAGAAATTGGAACCTAGGTGTCTCCCAACCAAAGAATGGAAATAGAAACTGTGGTACATTTACACAATGGAGTATAACTCAACTGTTAAAATGACCTCATGAAATATGTAGACAAATGGATGGAACTAGAAAAAAAACATCCCGAGTAAAGAAATTCCTTTTATGTTCTTTTCCTAGAAGCATTTATTTGTTTTTCATAAAGGAACTAACAAAATTCAATAAAATAAGCAAATTAACTTTTATTTCAATGCTAGAAACTGATCTCACGGCCCTATAGATGATAAGCATTTCCACTACTCCTGAATTATACCTCTACTCCAATTACTATGCTTCAGGATGATACATTTTTCATTTTACACAAAAATATTTCATTTTCCCTCTTATTGAAAATAATTTTTTCTTACCTAATATATCCTGATTGTAGTTTCTTCTCCCTCTACTTCTCCAAGTTCCTTCCTACCTCCCCTCCCAATCTGTTTCCATCACCTTTTTATCTTTCATTAGAAAACAGACAGGCTTCAAAGGGATATTACAAAATAAAAAATAATAATATAAAAAAACTCACACATTGGAATAGGATAAAACAAACAAATAGAAGGAAAAGATCCCATAAGAAGGCAAAAGAAATAGACCCACTTATTTGTACACTCAGAATTCTCATAAAAATAAGCTAGAAGCCATAATATATATGCAAAGGAATGGTAGGGCAAAAAGAGAGAAAATATATAAATTAAATAAAAATTAAAATAAAAAATAAGATTAAAAAGTCATGATATGACATTATTAAGTAAGGAACCTCCTTATAAATAATAAAGCCCCTAAAAAAGGTTGGTTTTCTGTTGGCCATTCACTATTGGACATGCAGTCTGCCCTTAAGAGTAGTTTTGTTTCCCCAATCGTTTGCTTCCCCAGTGAGACTCCTTTGGAGAAAAGGAAATTTTCCTTTGCAAGTAGTTGTCCATTGGTTGTTGCTTCTCGGTTAGGGATAGAGACATGTATCTACTTCTTTCAGGTCTTGGACACCTCTGGCTTACACCTGTGTAGGCCTTGTGCAAGCTACCCCAGTCTCTGTGAGTTCATATGTGCCTCAATCTTTTTACTTAGAGGGCCGTGTTTCTTTGGTGTCCTCCATCCCTGGATTATACACTCTTTTCACCTTCTCTTCAACAGTGTTCCCTGACCCTGAAGGGAGGGATTATATGCAGACACGTGTTTTGGGCTGAGTGTTCTACGGTCTCTCATTCTTTGCATATTGTCTGGGTGTGGGTTTCTGTATTTGATCTCATCTGCTGCAGGAGGAAGTTTCTCTGATAGTGGCTGAGCAAGGCACTGATGTATGAGTATAACAGAATGTCATTAAGAGTCATTTTATTGGTACATTCTTTTAGTAGAACAGTAGTATTTGGTTTTGCCCTAAGTCTCTGGGCTATTTAGTTTCAGGTTCTTGGTGGCCCAGGCAGAGCTGGGTAAGCTTTCCATCCTATGAATTGGACCTTAGGTCAGATATGTTACCAATTGTTTACTCCCCCAATTCTACCATTTGTTCTATGTTGTTCTATCATTGGACTAGCATTTCTTGTAGGCAGGACAGATGGTAAACCAAAGGGCTTGTAGCTGAGTCAGTGTTTGTTTCTCCTATGTAGCTCAGAAAGTACCTTCCTCTACCAAAGACACTAGCATGTAGGGGTGAAGGTACTAGGTAGGCACCAACTGAACTTCTCCATATTTAATGAGTTGTGTAGGTGTCTTCAGCAATTGGACCTTGCCATTAGTTTGTGTAGAGCAACCTATACTCTTTTCAACAGCCTAGGTTATTTGGGGATTTTCATGGTATCCCTTTGGCCAACAACTCAATTAGATGTAACCCATTCCTGGGACTAAAAGCTTTATTTTGTGACAAGAGACATTCTGTTAGAGCTCTGCCTCCCCCATTATTTGGTGATTTCATTTAACTTTCCTTCATATAAATATAGGGTTTTCTATTTTATTAGGCTTCTTCTATACTACCCCTCAAATGTACCTTAATTTTAGCTGTCTTTCTCCATAATTCCCCTTCTCATCCCCCCTTTCTTCCCCTTCTTCACTTGACCCTCCCGTTTCAGCTCCCCTACCTATACATAGCCATCTTAACAGCTATTAGCCACATATAAGTATATTTGCCTTTTTGGTTATAGATTGCCTTAGTCAGGATGATTCTTTTCTAGTTTTATCCATTTGCCTGAGAATTTCATGATTTCATTTTCTTAACAGCTGAATAATAATAATTCTTAATCTCTTCTTCTGTTGAGGGACATCTATGTTGTTACCAGTTTCTGGCTATTGTGAATATAGCAGCAATGAACATGGTTGGGCAAGTGTCTTTATGGTAGGTAAGATGAAGCATCCTTTGGGTAGATGCCTAAGAGTTACCACTCTTGAGGTAGATTGATACCCATCTTCCTGAGAAACTGCCACATTGATTGCCATAGGTGCTGTGCAAGTTTGCATTCTCTGGAGTGAAGGTGAAGGCGTAAGTCAAAAACAATCCCACACCAGTTTAGAATTATGATTAATAGAATGGTTATTTATTTAAAGGGGAAAAAACTTACAGATCACCGTCCCAGACAACAGCCCTCTGTGCAATCAGGAAGGGAGTCTAGTTGCCAGAAGTGGAGCAGGAAGTAAGAGAGAGCGAGAAGGGAAGTGGCTGCTTTTTTAAAGGGAGAGAGACCACGCCCCAATGGGCTGGTATCTCAGTGGCTATTGTCTGGAGGAGCAGAAGGACCTCCTGCAACACTGGAGCCATGGATGAGTGTTCCCCTTACTCCACATCCATGTACCCCATTTTTATTTGGGTTATTTGTTTCCTTGGTATTTAGTTTTTTTTTAAGTTTTTTTATATTTTGTGTATTTGTCCTCTGTGGAATGTGTAGTCAGTAAAAATCTATTCCAGTTCTGTAGGCTAATACTTTTTATGAATGACAGTGTCTTCTGCCTTCTGCTTTTCAATTTCATGAGGTACCATTTATTAATTGTTGATCTTAGTGCCTTTACAAACAGTACCCAGTTCAGAAAGTGTTTTTTAGAATGTTCGTGTGTGTGTGTGTGTGTGTGTGTGTATTGTGTGTATGTACGTTTTTTTGAGACAAGATTTCTCTATGTAAATCAGACTGGCCTCAAACTCACTCTGTAGTCCAGATTGGCCTCCAAATTACAGAGATCATCATGCCTCTGCCTCCCCAGCGCTGAGATTAAAGACATGCACTACCACCCAGCAGGATGATATATTTTAAAGAAAAACACTAATGGTAAGGAATAACAAGTTTGCATTTGAACCTTGTTAATCTAGATGTTATTTTCTCCTTTTTTTTCTTCAGGTACAAAATGCTAGTGACTTGCTGATCAAACCCCTGGAAACTTTTCGGAAGGAACAAATAGGTTTCACAAAGGTATATTTTTCGTGCTAAATGTATATATGTATAAATGTATATATAAGGTTATTTCAGATAGTAATTGAGTAGTTGTTTGGGCTGCCATTCATTATTCTGCAATGTTCAAATGAAGATGCTCAGATTTCCCCAAAAGCTAGGAGTTTATCTCTGTGAGTGTTTCCAGAAGAACTTGGAATTTGAATGCTTGGGTGCCCTAATCCGTGTGGGTGGGTATCATCTACACATTGAGAGTCTGAGTAGAACAAAGGTATAGAGAAAGGTTGAGTTGACAACTAGACCACATGACTTGGGACATGGCCCATTGCTCTCAGTATTACTGGTTCTTACTCCTTCAAACCCAAATTAGAATTCACAGCAATAACTTTTAAGCTGTTGAACCTTCTTACTATCCTACTGGTATTCCTTACAATTTACATATAGCAGATCATGAAACTTTTTAACCTTCATAATCATTAGATCCAGCACCTTAGGATAAGTTTTTTCTCTCTCTCTCCTTTCTCTCTCTTGCTCTCTCTTTCTCACTCTCACGCTTTATCTCTCTAACTAATACAGAAATTAGCAATAGGAAGTGTCTGGTGCTGTAACTAGTAAGAGTTATATACCACTTAACAGTGGGAATACATTCTGAGAAATGCATCGTTAGCTGAGTTTATCATTATGTGGACTTCATAGAGAATATAGAACTAGATGGCATCGATCACTCAAGGCAGTTTCTTCATACAATTAGGAAATGCAGTAAGCATGAGGTATTTGACAAAGTATATTGTTTAACAGTAAATGTTTTCTAAGGTTTATCCTCTAAAATAATGATAAAGGTATGGTATAGTAAATATATATCCCAGCAACATATTTTTGTTATCATGCAAAGGTATATGATTAGATGTGCTAATTTCTGGTTATTGATCTTACAGTATACAGTATCACAGGCATATAAGTGATGCTGGATGCTATGATGTTACTATGACTATAATGTCATGGGAATGGCAGAAAATTTTCTGCTCTCCCATTGTCCTTCCTCTACCTTCCCTTTCTCCTCTCTTCCTCTAGTTACCCTCCCCCTCTTCTGTAATCTCCTCTGTCCCCTTTGTTTTCTTTACTTTTTTCAGACAAAATGTCACTGTTGCTTAGGATGGACTCATATCCCTGATCTTTCCTTTTTAGGTCCAAGAACGCTGGGCTTGAAGGCTTGTCCCACCACACCCAATTCTATTATTTTTGGGCCGCTGTCATACATGCAGTGTGTTGTTGAAAAATGTCAAATGTCATTATGTCACATAAGAGTAATGGGTGGTATTATGTAGCGTATAACTATATGTACAACTATGAAGGCACCACCAGAACCACACACTTGGTGGGTTGGAACAGTTTTGAGGAACATACCTGGGGAAGTGGAGAGTGCCCTGGAATGACTTCTATCTGGTAAGGATTCAGCAATAAATGAGGAGACTGATTAAGAAAGCTTCCACTGTCTTAGATTATACTTGACCAATTATGTAGTGTTATGAGAAATGTGGACATTAAGGTGATAGATATAGATCTATTTGTATACTTCTACGTGGAGACATCCAGTTTGACCAGCATCATTTGTTGAAGATGTTTTCTTTTTTCCAGTATGAATTTCTGTTTTTTTTTTCTTTATTTAAAAAGTGTCCATCGTTGTGTGGATTCATGCTTGGGTCTTTGATTCAATCCCGTTGGTCCACTGGTCTGTTTTTATCCCAATACCATGCATGCAGTTTTTATTACTATAGTTCTACAGTACAGCTTGATATCAGGGGTGGCAATACCTCCAGATGTTCTTTTATTGTATAGGATTGTTTTAGATATCCTGGATCTTTTGTTTTCTAATATGAAGTTTAGTATTGTACTTTAAATGTCTGTAAAGAATTGTATAGAAATTTTGATAGGGATTGAGCTGCAGAGATTTTTAAGTGGACTATGTAAGAAGCAGCTTGTTTTCTTCTGCCCAGTAGTAGTAAAATTTAAGAAGAGAAAAAGTGAAGAAGAACTTATTCATTTATTTATAACTGTTACTGATTCTTTGTGGGTTTTTTACATCATTTATCTTGATTCTGCTTATCTGCCCGTCCCCTCACATCTGCCCTCTGCCCTTGTGACCGCCCCTTAAAACAAAATAAATTTTTTTTTCAAAATAAAATTTTAAAAGAAAATCCAAAAACCAAACCAAACAAAAAACAAAACAAATAAACAAAAGAAGAGTCTTGTGGAAGGGGTAGTGTGGCCCGTTGAGTCACCCAGTGCACCCTGTAGTCCATTCGTCTTTACTTGCAAGTGTTCATGCAATCAGTTGTTGGTCTGGCTCGAGGCCTCTGGCTTCCGGTACACTATAGATGCTAAGCCCTCGCTGGGTCTCTTTTTAGATATCCTGTTGTTGTCCTGTGCTATGGAGATCCTGCAGTTTTGGACCTGTAGGTTCGTTCCCTTCACATGCTCCCGAAAGTTCACAGATGGGGTGGATGTTGGGGTGGACTAACTTATAGACCTGGTTCTGGGCTTAGGTGATAGCTGGGTTGGTCAGCCCACCAGTTTTTCATCTTCATCACTGCCTAGGTTTCAGCACTGTCCCAGCTAGCTCAGCCAATGCAGCCTGCAGCGAAGAGTGGGACCACTTTTGCTCTCAGGTCCTCAGATCCAGGTTGCCTTAACTCCCACCACCAGGGCTAGCTCCATTGTTTTACCCAGATAAAGTGCAGGACCCTCTTTCCTGATTGCTGTAGGGGGCATATGCGAGGATATTACTTTGCACCTCTGGTGTGCCTGGGACTAGAGACCACGGGCTTGGTATGACGGCAGGTTCTACCATCTGTGTTTTCCATCGCTCAGGCCTGAAAAGTGCTGAGCGGCTCCTGGTTAGTTGTCCCTCCCCCCCAACTAGAGATCTGGGGACAGTCTGAATAAGGACTTTGTAGACAAAAATGAACCAGAACTTTTAAATACTTGGTCCAGTGTATTCATGTTGCAAAGAACAAGAAAACAGGTTCTGAAGAGAAGTTGAGAAGATTAGTATGGTTGGGCCTGGAGATGACTCAGTGGTTAAGAGCTTGGGCATTGCTTTTGTGGAGGAGTGGGGTTAGGTTTACAGCTCCTACATTGGACCCCTCAAAGTTGCCTGTAACTCCAGCTCCAGATAATAGAACACCCTCATCTGGACTCCATGGAAACCTTCACTCGTATGCATATACCCACATATAGTCATATACTACATACAGTCTACATAATTTAAAAATAATGAAAGTGAATCTTTTAAAAAGATTCCTATGGCATGAGCTGAGGGCCTAACAAGTTATCTCAGTGCAAGGCTACACAGATGAGATTACGCCAACACTACCACCTGAGACTAAAGGAAACAGAAATTAGAACCTAAAGATCCCATGGAGTTTGCCTTGTTTGATTTTCAACTTGGAATCCATCACTCCTCCCTTCTACATTTCTGTCTTCTAGAATGAGGATGCCTGTCTTATGCCCATACCTGCATTTTTTTGAGAAGTAGCTTTCTTATTTTGGCATCAAAGGCCAACAGATGAAGATAATTGTATCTCAATTATCAATCATATCTAGGTTGTATCATAAAGTGAATATGTTAAACTTTGAACTTTGGACATTTGAAATGATGCTGGACTAAGATGCCCTTTGAAGTTGTTGAGATGAAATTACTGTATTTTGCCTGTAAGAGAGGAGTGAGATTGGTGAGGACTGGGGTAGGCAGAATATTGTTTGTGTCTCCCCAATCTTCAATGTAGAAATCCTAAATGCTGTAAACATTTTAGTTTCCTTTTAGATTTTAGTTGTTCCATTTAGCAAATGAGAGGCAGGAAAACAGTAGGCAGCATCCTTGGGTGGAGCCCTTTGCATTCTTTCTGGGACCATAGCATTCCTGAGGGCACCTGGCAGTGAGATGAATGAAACCTATACAAGACAAATATGATGATGAAAGTTATAGAGTTAGTATCAGTGGCCAGGATTGGGATATGAGCATCTTTTTAGCTTCATATTTTACTCCTTTGCAAGATAGGATCTCGTTATGAAGACCAGGCAGGCCTGGGATGTCTTTCTGTTCTTCCTTTTTCAGCCTCCCTAATGTTGGAATTACTGGTGTATACTACCATTTCCTACTACATCCTTCTATTAAGTTATGCTGTCTAGATCTGTGCTGCCTAGTAGTTTTAAATCATGTGTGTGCATGTGTGTGTGTGTGTGTGTGTGTGTGTGTGTGTGTGTGTATTTTAAGTTAGAGTCTCTCTATGTAAGTAGGACTCTAGGCTGGCTTCTTACTCTTGATTCTCCTGCCTTAGACTCTTGAGTGCTAATGTACACTGTTTGACTTACCCTTATGATAGTTACTGGATATTTTAAGTTTCCAGCACTCAGTGTTGTTAGTCTCATTTTAAATACTTAGTAGTCACAGGTGGCTAGTAGCTATTTCATTGGAAAGCTTACACATCAACCCTGCTCATCATTGAATGGTCTATTATACAGTGCTATGCCAGCTAATTTCAGTTTCATTGTCCCTGGATCTCTTCCATTAGTTAATATGTTAGAAAGGGATATGAATATTTTTGAGTTTAATCTTTTTCAGCCCAGTGCACAAAACTATTCCCAACACGTACCCAGCATGTAACCAAAGTATTCTATCCTTTATAGGTTAAAATATATCATCTTGACCAAGCATCCAGTCTTAATATTTGGAATAAGAATGTACCATACAGTGTTATTATTGGAATCCCATGGCAATCAGTTTGGATAAAGACTATGAAATTAGCCGTGTAGAAATAGGAGTGGCGGGTCACTTCCCACCACCCGGCTAGCTTTACCTGAAATAATTACACGGAAACTGTATTCTTTTAAACACTGCCTGGCCCATTAGTTTCAGCATCTTATTGGCTAATTCTCACATCTTGATGAACCCATTTCTATTAATGTGTGTAGCACCACGAGGTGGTGGCTTACCAGTAAGGATCTTAACCTGTGTCCATCTT